GTGTGTGTGTGTGTATGCGTAAACAATTATTTAATTAATGAAATTATTAATTGAATAATTGAATATATATACACACACATTTTAAAAATAATAATGACAATAATAATATTAATAATGTATTCTTGCATCTCTAGCATCATTATGGTTTGACATCATTTTTAATAGTTTGTATATACATACACAATTAATTAAATTAATAATTGAATTAATTAATAATAATAATGATGATATATTATAAAAATAATAATGAGTAATTCCTGCATCTCTGATATCTGACTAGCTTGATATATAATTGTATGATTATTATTATGTTTATTATATGTAAATATATAATAAAAATAATAAAAATGAATGCACGAACTGGCCAGTTTTATATAGATCTAAGTATAAAAGATTGATAATATGTTTCAAAATCTGTGACCTGGTTTTGTGAGTGTTTTAAAATGTTATTTTAGATTAAAAAAAAAAAACACCTCTTGGATCTCAGTAGTTTGATATTATGAAAGAAAAAAACAGCTGTTTTGGGTATCTTAATGGAAACAAACTATCATAGAGATTGCTTTTCACACCATTACAAATGTTCTGCCAAAACCAAACAGGAAATTTTCTTTTAGATACTATCTAAATTATTAATTTTATTCATCTAGTCATTACGCAGCCTAAGAAAATGCATTCATGCTATTTACAGGTGCAATTTAGCACCTTCTTTATTTGCTACTTAATCATCATCATTATCATCAAATGCATAATCAACAAGCTGTATAAAAGGTTGTTGTTTGTTAAATATAAATCTAACTCTTCATACGATTCAGTGAGGATCATCATTCAAAACCTATTCTTTGAGTAAACATTCATATCCTCCTCTGCTGAATATCAACTACTAAAGATTGTGGAATATTTCTTTAATTTCTTAAGTTTCTGTAAATATTTATCAAAAACTGGATGGTTTCTGTTCTTTCTCAACTTGCTTTTTTTTCATGATTTCTTGCACAGTTGACCAGTCAGGATAAGACGGCCCAGGTGATCCAGAGAGCTCTGCAAAAACACAACCTGGAGGATGTTAGTGAGCAGGACTTCACCCTCGTACAAGTTCTGGCCCAAGGCAGAGGTACTGAAAACTCATTTAAACAAATGTGTCATTACTAAATTAGAGGAAGTTCTGAAACCCATATTTTTAAATTAAATCTATGAATGTAAGGTTAATCTTATATTGTTTATTAAAAATGATGCACATATGCAATGTTTATAATTCTTATGCATATTTTTGTTGTAGAGTTGCATATTCCAGAAAAGGCCAACGTATATTATGCCATGTCTACATCAGCCAACTACGACTTTGTTCTACGTCGATGCCCAAAAGGCCAGCGGAAACAGCTCATACGCTCTGTTTCACTGTCATCAGGACGAGCCACAAAATAACAGCGAATTCAGCGTTGATTCTGGAGGAATCATATTTAATGCAACAGTTATTGAAAACTGTCAAGACATGTCATCCAGACACAAATGGAGATGTCTGAGATTGAAAACAAGTCATTTAAAGAATAAAAACGGCATTCTTCAACAGCATTTGCAAGCTATATTTCTGGGTGAAACAGGATACTTAGTTAATGAGCTTCAAAGGAATAGTTCAACCAAAAATGAACATTTACTCACCCTCAGGTCATCAAAAAAGTAAATGAGTTTGTCTCTTCATCAGAACAATTGGAGAAACTGAACATTACATCAGTTGCTCACCAGTGGATCCTCTGCAGTGAATGGGTGCCGTCAGAATGAGAGTCCAAACAGCTGATAAAAACATCACAATAATCCACACCACTCCAGTCCATCAGTTAATTTTCTTTTTTAAACTTTTTAAACTTTAAATTTTGAACTGTTGCTACTGGCTAAAATGCGAGTCCTCTATCCATAATTTTGCACTGGAAAAGTTATATTGTCTGAATCAGGAGAGAAATATGCACAGTTCAAGCACTGTTTAAAAGCAAAAAAGCAGTCCAAAACATTTCTAAACAAATATGTCTGTGGATTTTTGATGTGAGAGGACTACAGGGGATGGACTATTTCACTGGAATAAGTGTTATTTATTGACTCGTATCTTGGCCAGAAGTGGCTGTTTAAAGTTAAAATGTGTTAATGATGGATTTGTTTATTACAAACACACAGCTTTTCACTTTTCAAGATGTTAATTGATGAACTGGAGTCGTAGATTACTTGTGGATTGTGATGTTTTTATCAGCTGTTTGGACTCTCATTCTGACGGCACCCATTCACTGCAGAGCATCCATTGGTGAGCAAGTGATATAATGCTACATTTCTATGAATCTGTTCTGATGAAGAAACAAACTCATCTATATCTTTGATGGCTTGAAGATGAAAAACATTTTAACAAATTTTTATTTTTGGGTTATGTATTACTATAAGCATGCATTTAATTGGATTGTGAAATGTTGAAATATCAGGGCTAGGTGACATTATTACATTTTGATGAACAGTTTGTTTCCTTAGAATAGCACGCACTAATGAACCATGCATGATAAAACTAGGAACATGAAGTAAGTAAATAGCATCAATGATGTTGACTGTAGGGCTCTTCAGTGGAAAGACAAATATCACGGGTTCAGTTTCATGAACTCATAACCCAGGCGCTTTAAATTGTTTTAAGTGACAAGAGACAGATAACAAAGACTGCACCTTCTTGAATTCCTCACATTCAGTGCAGCGATAATGGGATGAAGCAAAGTTTCTCAATGACCTTCAGCTCTCATTCTCTGCCTGTCATAATGAGACAGCCTAACCAGATACACTGTACGATAATGCGCTAACTTTGAATAGAAACACAATCATATACCTAGAGGCCTGGGATGAGACTTGTATAACTTTTATATAGGTCAGTGTCTATACAGACTGCCTGTGGATAACACATTATCAGTTCACAGTGTTCCTGATTACAGCATGATGATGGTGTGTGTGTGTGTGTGTGTGTGTGTGTGTGTGTGTGTGTGTGTGACAAGACGAGCCACTTCAACAGGTGCAGTTACATTCCAGAGACACACTTTCACATCCACTGTCATGTGTGATTTCATTTATATGTCATTTGATGAATCCATTTTTAAAAATATCATCATTTATTATTGAATGAGATAGTGTGGCAGCATTACTGAACACTCAGTGGATATTTTTATACCATGTTTTATATCCTCCTTCATCAGCATCAAATTCAAGCAACTTGACTCCAATTAGTCTGTGCTTTTACGGACTTATACAAGCTCTTGCAGAGTAAAATTAAGAAGATAAATTATATTATCGTTCGAATACATTTGAATGTAGATATGTTAGTAAAACAGTATTTATTTATATTAGTTAATGTTGAAAATGTTATATATAATGCTATGTACAATATGAGATGGTACTTGTTTAATATTTTGCATTGATAATTTATTTTATTTCATTTTGGGTTTTTTATTTTTGTTATATGTTATATTTTGTTTTTATTATATTTTATTTTTTTATTTATATTTTGTATTTTATTTTTTTATTTTATTTTTTTTATTTTATTTTCCCCCTGAGTGTATTCTGAACCCTGCAACATTTCACTGAAGGATTTGTGTCTGAAAAACATTGCATCAGTTTCTTTTGATATTCTGTCATCTCTCGACGTAAAACAGAAATGAAACGGTCGCCCATCCACATACTGCAATAAACCTAATCTACACGCTGAGCTGAGATGAAAGATGGCTGTGCACAGATTTATGTGGATTTGCTGTGATGTAAAAAGAGGCAATCATGGCACTGAAATTAGCTATTGGAAAATGCTTTCCATGGCTGATTATGCTAAACAGTCTCTGCCACTATAGTAAGATGCATCCAAAGTCACAATTGCACAATGTGCTAGGCACCTAAACATTCTTATATTGAACCATGATTAGCAAATCTTAAAGCAGTTTTGTATCCAGTTTTGCATTTTGAAGACCTGACCACAGCATGGAGATATCAATGATTTAGCAGATCATATGTGGAGAAATTAATAAAGAAATCTGCACTAAAAGATTCATGAAAAGGCTTTTGATTCTGATTCTGTGGAAATGGCACAAGCTTTGGCCTATAAGTGGAAACCAAGATTAACTAATGTACAATACTGAGCGAAAAGCAAAGGATTTGTGTGTCTGGGTTCCTAGACAGTCCAACACACTTTCACTGATTCAGACACGGCTGTTCTCTGCTTGTTATTGAATTATGGCCCGTTAACATAAAACGATAACCCCCTGGTACCTTGTTTTAAAAACTTACTATGATTTCTCATTCCTAGACTATGCTTTATGCTTAATTCACATCCCAAGTTAAAGTGTGAAATTTCTGTCAGTTAGCTCCTACTAGATCCAAAACGCATCTTTGTATATCGATGGCCACTTATAGGCCTATATTTTATGATGCTATAGTAGATGAAAGTGACTTTTCTGTGACTATTTTAAAAATAAAAGTATAGAATTATAGGCCCTATTGCTTTTTTTTTTTCAATTCAAAATTGTTCCTCTGAGGGCTTAAATATGGCCATGTCCACCACCTAGGGGAAAAAAAACCATGCTTTGGTAAATCAAATCATGATAAAAGTCATAAGTATGTCTAAATTCTGTAATTTATGTAAATTAGGATTATGAGATAAGTAATTAATTTGGGAATTAAATATCAAATTTATAATTGACTTTTTAGAAATGTTGATTTTTAAATTCATAATTACGACTTTGTCATAGTTTTTACTTTTTTGTCAAATAAATCGAATTTTCATCTAATAATTGTGACATATCTCATAATTCCGATTTATATGATAAATCGTTGCTTTTAATGTCCAATAAAATGAACGCAAATTAATAAAAAGACGCAGTAGCAGGCAATCGTTCAATAGGCGTTTGATGACATAATTGATCACCACGTGATCTTTAGTAATTGACGGGGGCCTGATTGATTTAAAAGCCCTACTGACATACATTGGTCTTTTTGAACGTGTTTCGACGAGGTTTTCTACAAGGATTCAGTGAGAAGAGACTCCTGGCTGCAGCAATAAATCTGGTTTACTAGTCGTTTAATGAAAGTGTTAAAATCACAGCAAGCACATCGTGGTTGTAAACTTTAGCCACTAGCCATTTTAGCCAGTTGTGGCTAAAAAAAAGTGAATGATGGACACAGCTAGGGCGGACATAGCCTATGCTTTTCATGGTTAAAGTGCCGAAAACTAATGTAAGTAGTAAAAGAAATAGTGATTAACTATAAAAGTGGCTGTTTATTAATGTAGGATGAAACTACATGTATTTGCTTTAATGCAGTCAGGTCAAGTAAAGTCAGTGGAGGAGGATGAAAACGGCAGGATTGACAGGTGGCTGAGGTGAGTCAGATGGATGCACATGTGGGATGATTTAGTGTCGTCTAGGTCTGCATGTAAAAAAGGAATGGTTTCTGGATTTCAATATTTAACAGCCTCACAGCCTCTACTTGGCATTTGTCCTCTAGTTCTGCCCAAATTTAAATGTCTCGACAAATCCTGAACACGAAATTCTACCAAAATGTAGTATTATTATTATTATTATTATTATTATTGCTGCTACTACTAGTAGCCTCGTAGTAGTAGCCTATTATAAAATAATAAAAGGAAATATTCTAAATGGAATCATCAGCAGGATTCTCACAGTTACGAGAAGCTTAGAAATCTCAAGGAATTTCAGAAGTGCGAGTAGAGATTTCTGTACTCAAAATAATATTCTATACTCTGTTCTGAAGTGTTTCTTTTGACTAGAAATGTCATGCATATTTGCAGTCTTTTTCTGCAGTTACACCATTACGCCAGTTGGTGGCGTCAAGTGACTGTCTTTGAGACAATGTGCAGGCTCTGTCAGTCTCAGTAATAACGGTCAGTTCAGTTCCACGTATTTATTTATTTGAAATAGAAAAGTCGTGCAATTTTATTGGTCAAAATAACTCCAAAAAATGTCGTTTATTGTTGCATTGTAAAAATCCAAAGGTGCTTTAAAGCGGTGTTTCTCAAACCTGTCTCTGGGCCCCCCTCCACTACACATTTTGTATGTCCCCTCATTGAACACCCAATTCAAGTCTTACAGACTCTGCGGATGAGTTGAATCAGGTGTGTTAGATGAAGGAGATGAACAAAATGCAGTGCAGTGGTTGAGGATCCCCAGGACAGGTTTGCCACTAGATGGCAAAAACGAAGCCTTTTGAGAACATTTCAACATTATGTAGTTACAAGTTGGTTGAGTTTCTATTTTGTAATCTCGGTTTCTCCTCATCTTACTTTTTTTTTTTTTTTTCTTTCTTTTTCTTAGATGTTGGACATGTGGGTATTTATTACTTAGTACTGAAATAATGTCTTATCCTCAATACTGTTGGTGCATGTCGGGGAAGTTTTTAACTTTATAGCAGAGGTGAGGTGAACGTTTTTAAATGGAATCAAGAAAGAAACCATGTCAAACAGTCCGAGACGGAGAGAGAGCGAGAACAGCGCTGCATGTTCAGTGTGTCTGGGTGGAAAAGACTGACTCACTTTCTGGCAGGTCTGTGGGGTTTTCAGTCCAGGCCCTGCGCCAGACAAGACAAGAGCAGGTCCTGAGTCAGTGCAGCGGGCCCCGAGTGGGCCGCAGCGTGGGAGCAGACGGGGATATGGAGCACCCCATGATTAATCGGACCCAGCGGCCTGACAGCTTTACTGTCTACACTGAAAGTGAGTGACGTGACAAAACTAGAATGATGAAATCGAGCTTTAGTGTTTCTTTGATTACCATGTTCTAGTTTTATTGTGCCACAGTTCACTCTGTGTAGATGGGAAGTTACAAACTAAACGGATCATTTTGACTGCAATTATTGAAATGTAATCCGATCTAAGCTTTGTTTAACAAAACATGTAAATAATCCAAGGATGTAACCACATACCCTACTGTATAAAAGTTTGCAGTTTAATATTTTTGAAAGAAGCTTCTTCTGCTCACAAAGGCTGCATTTATTTGATCTGAAAAGACAGTAAAATCAGTAATATTGTGAAATATTATTGTAATTAAAAAAATACGTTTTTTTATTTCAGTGTATTTTAAGATGTAACTTATTCCTGTGATGGTAAAACGTCATTACTCCAGTCTTCAGTGTCACATGATCCTTCAGAAATGATCCCAATATGATTATTTACTGCTCAAGAAGCATTGCTTATTATCAGTGTTGAAAACAGTTGTGCTGCTTCATATTTTTGTGGATTCCATTGTTTTTCAGGAAGTTCATAAGAATAGCATTTCTTTTGTATAGAAATCTTTTAATATTATAAATGTCTTTACTGTCACTTTTCATCAATTTAGTGCATTCTTGCTAAATGGATTAATTTCTTTAAAATCTTACTGACCCGCAGACTTTTAAACATTAGTGCATTATGGATTTTGGGAGGGCCGAAGTAATTATTCAAAAACCAAAAAGTCATACCGGTTGAACTTTAATCTGAATATTAAGAATATGAAGGACATCTGCTCCTATGTCCATGGTATTTGTGACCATTCAAAATCACTTTTAACTAATATTTATTTCTTATTTTTCCATAATTATCATTTGCACACAATCATAATTTCACGTTATTATAATCCATATTTGATTTTGTTAGCTCTTTACTGGAATTGGCTGGAAACAGCCTTAAGAAAACAGCTATATAAAACACCAAAACATTACAAGATAAATTAGTTTTATCATAGTGATAAAAATGTTTTCATATTGACCTTATCGTTTTACAGACCGACCGGCTTCATAGGAAGTCAATAATCTCGTAGTGAAGCATGTGGCTGTTCCTGTAATCGATGTTTGTTTTTCTTACCTAACACATACTTTATATTTTGAGAGACAAATTGCCTTCTCACAAGGAAACGTGCGCAGACACAAGCACGTGGATGCATGGATGTGTTTTATAAAGGATGTGTACGTGCGCAAACAGAGTCAGACACACATTTACTCAAGCTGTTACGTATAAACACACCCACATTTATCATTACATACTTTTGTCCAACATCATTTAACAGGAACTTACACACAGAAACTAAACGGATGCAATGAGAGAGTCAACCAGAATGTGTTCAAGAGAAAGAGCTGAATCACAGGGTGAGTCTCATGAAAATAAGTCCCACGTGAGCACAACCTTGTTCAACACACACACACACACACAATCCATGCATGTGCACTTATGCTGACAGTATCACAATCAGAAGGCCTAAAAAATAAAATCTTATATTGTTTTAAACATATGCAAGCCTAATCCACTTGTAAACATTTTCTCAATGTGTCCCATTACAGTAATGAGTAAAATTGAGCAGTTGACCTACATTAAAATCCTGACCCCTAATTGGTGCATAATGGTACTGCATCATATCATGTGTGAAATATTAGCAATTGAATAATCAAATTATGAAACAATAAAAAAAATTCTTTTTTTTTGCATAAACCATGATACATCTTTTCTTTGAATAAAAGTTTGAAAGCACAGCATTATGTATGTCTTTACTGTCATATTTGATCAATTTAATGCATCCTTGCTGAATAGAAGCATTATTTTTTAAAGAAATCTTACTGACCTCATTGTTTTGAACATTAGTGTGTATTGTATGTTAATGTTTTATGTTTTTATTTCATGCTTCCTCGTATACCCGTATGTGTATCATTTGCATAGATCTTCATATTATTTCATAATTTTGGTTATTAATTTTCTATTTTAGTGATTTATTTTAACTTTCCATATTGGACTCTTTTGGACAATTTCTTTAAATTATAATTTATACAAAATGTATTCATTTGAATAATAAATAATTAATTAATAATTATTCATGCATTTAGCAGATGCCTCTTATCCAAAGCGACTTACAGTGCATTCAGGCTATACTTTTTTTTTTTACCAGTATGTGTTCTCCCTGGGACTAAATGAAACTAAATAAAATGATCAAATATCAACATACACACTCAGAAAAAAAAAATACAAAACTCTCACTGGGGTGATACCTTTTCAAAAGGCACTTTTGTGTACACATTAGGTACTAATATGTACTTTTGAAGCACTAATATGTAGCTTTAAGGTACTAATATATACCGTTTAGGGGTAAATAAAGTACAAAGATGTACCTTTTAGCTTCAGTGACTGCTTTGTACCTTTTTTCTGCGAGTGTATAATATTCTCTCTCTCAGTCTTATTGCGTGTGTGTCAGTGTTTAAAGTGTTTACGCGCCAGCACTGTTTGCTGACCCCTGTTAAAAAATGTATTGGCCATGATACAAAAGTTCAGCTTTTCGGCTAATATCAACAGCTGTAGTTCTGATGAAAACCAAATACATCATACCAAGTAAAAATCATCATAGAGTTTGCAACCTGTTGTGGGAGTATTTCTTATGAGCTGGAACTGAAGCACTTGTCAGCAGAGAGGAAGATGGATGGTACAAATTACAGGCAAAACTAAAACCTGCAGCAAGGAAGTTGAAAATGGGAAGACGGCCCATCTTTCAACATGACGACACACCACCAAATCAGCTATTCAGCCGCTGAAAGACAGGATGATAAATGTCCTCTATCACTCCTAAAATCCTGTAAATCTGTGGAATGATGAAACAAGGGCCAGCCAATGATCTGTAT